TACAGAATCAAGCTGCAAGATTCTGTATGAACAACTATGTAAGAGGTGCTAGTGTCACGGAAATGAAAAGAAACCTACAGTGGACCTCACTTGAAGACAGAAGAAAGATGTCTAGACTATGCATGATGTACAAAATGACTAATAAACTGGTGGATGTCCCAACTACTAAGTACCTAATACCAGCTCAGAAGAGAACAAGAAATAGCCACGCATTCAAGTATCAGAGTTATCAACCAAGGATTGAGGTGTTCAAGAATTCATTCTTTCCTAGAACTATCGCAGAGTGGAACTCACTGTCACCAAGTACAGTAGGGGCACTGTCAATAGATAGCTTTAAACAATGTCTAGAGCTAGAAGTTCAAGGGTTAGGTGTAACAAGTCGATCGGTGTAATATAGCCAGCTGCCGCCGCGCCGCGTGCCTGCGAAGCTGGTGTGTTACGCCGAAAGGCGGTTATACCGGCTATACAGATACAGATACAGATACAGGTAAACGTTACTTTTTCTGTGGTGCTTTGTATAAAATACATGCATCAGTACGAGATAGATCCCTCCCTTGTTTAATCCAAACTACATGTAACTTTCAAACACACAGCAATGTGAATATAAATTATGACTAGCATGCTGTCATCCTAAAATGACTTCCATGTTACGGTGCTAGTTAAATGTGATACTTCAATATATTTGTAAAAGACGCTTTAGCAATATCGATCTTGTTGCAAAATATTATACTCAAAATGTTGACGACTTCACCACATTTTAATAATTTAGGTAAGTATTCTGCTTAGCACTTTTCCTTCACAAAAACCAATAGCCTTCAACGACAGGAAATTCGCGGATGACTCTTCATATAGGGTAATTTATAGGTAATTTAACCCCTTTCTTTCGGCGTATACTGTGTCATAATTCATGGTCGGTTCCTAAAACCACCGAATGAACGACCGAGTCCGCGGAGGGAACCGACAATGAATTATGACACCGCATACACCGAAGGAAAGCGGGTCATTAATGTTATTATCATATAGACATTGTCACATATGCATGTACATCAAGCTGACATACAAAGGAAACAACTTCTGTGTAACATATAAATCTTTTAATCTTGCATTGAAGTGAATTCTCATCGCAACAAACCAATTATTTAAAGCTGAAAGTTACAGGTACGAACTGAATTTACCGCTGAAGTTTACCGCTGAATTTCCTCAACGGTTTCTCCACCACTATTAACCAAATCCATCTCTGCGGTTGCCCCAAACACTGCTTCTAATTCATCTGACGACAACCCGGCGAATTCGAGGCGAAATTGCGGTCCTTCATCCATTTTATGTTAGCAGTAAAAGCAACGTGGCCAAAGACGGTCGAGGGGCCCAAATGGCGGCTGTTTTGAAAAGTTGAGAGTTGTACAAGTGTAGAATAGGAGGGTCAAGTAAAGATTAATCTTTATAAATAATGTTTTTTTTCATGACTCTATCGCTCATTTCAATTATATATAGTTTTTTCATAACTGAATTTATTCATATATACTCTACATAACCAAGTGTATTTTAGAAATATCTTTACAATTAGAAGTAGGTTTTATGTTAATTTACACATGCTTTCTAATATGAATAACATATTATATAATTTAATGTATTTTTATCAAATCATTATGTATAATTTTTGCTAATTTGATGACGTCATTGGCCACAATCCAAGATGGCGGACCATACCATTGGATTAGGTACATTCCAGATATTTTCCTTACAGAAAAAAAGTTACTTTGAACCTCAGTCTATTTCGATTGTAGTTTTAAAACGCGACCCTTTCATATACAACTGTTACTCAACTATCAAAGTCTACCCATGTCATGGAGATCATCTTGATTTATGCTGCCGACCTGCACATAGATCAAGCAAAAGCTACCCCACCGTGGCACAACCGAAAACGTAACCTTCTTAGCGAAGGCAAAAACACAAAAACATTAAATTTTACAGGAAGTCCAAAATTTTCTCTTCTTTCGTTTCAGGAAATGAAGATGCCCATTACATCCGTGGCCAAGATAATAACGGGCTAGTAACGATGAAAGGCTGCGAAGGACATCAGGTAATTAAACGTCCACTCTTACCACAATCCTGCCACTTGTGAGATGGACCATGGCGCACAGGTGTCACAGCGACTTTACCACCCCCCTTCTTCCACAGTGATTTCGCCCCTTCTCTGGAAACCACTCTTTCAACTCATCAACTCCTCCTCGCTCATATTGATTTAATTTACTACATACTACAGGGCGGGAGAAATGTTTTGATAGGGAAATATATCGTTTTATTTCACATATAGTCTTTCATATTCCTCTATTTTTAAATTATTTTTTTGGGGGGGGCAATTTGCATGATATGCAAAGAATGAAGAGTACTTGCCGACAGACCCGTTCTGCTACTAATCTGGACATTCTGATGTGTCAAACCAAACGCCATAGAACGAGTGCTATACCGCACATGGCCCATTTACTGAACATGTAATTGTCTCTATGTTGCTAGTTGCCTTGTAATTTATATTCTCCATCTCATTTTATAGTATTTCAATTTTATAACTGAATCGTTTATGAAACCTATGAATAATTATGCTGGCCGTAATACCTTTGCTTTTGATTTTAGCCTGTGCAGATTTATTTTAAAGTTGGCAGTCGATTTCTATCAAATCAGCCTTAGGGCTGCGACTTTGTGATGTAGTTGATGTCATAATGAACCATTCCGTCAAATAAGTTTATTTTTCCAAACCCGGTTTCCGGAAGGGCAAGTTGTGAGACTTCAATCTTGTTTAGCCAGTCTCTGACATGTATAGCACAAAAAATCCAACCAAATTTCTCTATCTAGTCCTTTCAAATAAATCAAACAAAATTCTCCGATTACAACGTAATATTATGTTTATCATATGATTGTATATCAAATCTGTGTACTTGCAACATGCTCAAAACTGCAGTTTACCAGCAAATACCTGCTTACGTGCCTACATGTCCTACGTGACTGTACTACAGTGCAATATTATAATAATAGATGAATTTATCATAGAAACTGCACAAGGACGTACAAATTTAACTTACCGACAAAACCTATCAAGAAATAGTTGTTTCAGTTGTTTGCTGTTTGCAAATTTCGTTTCAAGATATACGTATTTTTCCACACAGAGAGGAGATCAGTGGGGGTCATCATATCATCACAATTGTATCTGTAAAGGACCAGATCGTCTCTGCTATCCTGTTAATTGCCTTCCGGGTTCCGAGATTGTCCGTGACTTGAATGATCTCTGGAACTGTGAAGTTGTTCGGTCTAAAAGAGAAATTACAGGTAACGTTATTACATTACGTTTTTGATATTGTTTTATAGCATAATCATTCACCTTTGATTTATCTAAATGGGATTGTCTGCTTGCATAGCACAAAAACCAATTAAAATTGCGTTCAACAGATGCCAAGTGTTCACTAGAATTCTAGAAAGTACATAAGGTTATGGTAAGATACTTAAGTAGCCTTATCTGAATTCAGAAACGTTGGGAATAGATACAGTTTGAACAGCTAGGAAAAATTCGCTTCATGAATTGCTCCAGGTTAATTGACATGGTATGATACTTAAAATCATATATAGTTAAAAATTTTCATGTAAGACTATTTCGAGTAAACATCATAAACATTGATTGATAAGGTTATCCTTGGGTCTTTTGTATCTATAGATGTTGGCTCAGATTGATATGGATATATATAAATAGACGGGTACGTAAATATATTCTGTGATTATTTTTTCTATTATACACCCCAGAATCAGCTAAAGCTGTTCACTCCAGAGGAAAGGTATTTAGATACACTTTTTACACATACATATGAAAAAACTATCTTTCCGGTGTTCTTGATTATAATATTATGATAATTACACTAATTGTGGGGTCGTGGCGTAACGGCAGCGTGCTCGACTTGGAACCAAGAGGTTGCGGGTTTGAGTCCTGACATGCCACCGATCTTGTGCCCTTGGGACAATTTACACGGCTTCTCTCACATATCTCAAGTGGAAATGGGTATGCGTGGGACACAACGCCAGCAAAGCCGTATGTGTCCCACGTGTATTGTACTGTTACAATTCCAATAAATCACGTCCAATCAAATCAATTGTAAGTTATAGCCATTGTTGAATGTAACCGGTGTTTCACTTTTATCAATAATAATAATGTCGCTCTAAGCCTGTAACGTATTGGAACGTTTCTTTTATGTTGCAGCGAATGACTGGATTAGATGCATTCGGCGTGTTCTCCGGGGTTGTTGGCACAATCGGATTCATCTTAGACCGCATCGAAGCTGCGCAAACAACCGCACAGCTTAACGAAATACAAGATCAGATCCAGAAACTGGACACAAAGATGGACGTGTTAACACGAAGTGTCAGCGACCTAAAGCTAGGACAAGAATACAGTCAACTAGTATTCCTCTATGGCAGAGACGAACAACGACTGAGGAACATGATAAAGACCCTTGCTAACTTACAAATCAGTAGCGGGAAATACATACTGCCTGGCCACCGCATCCAACACTGGGCAGACATGGTCCTGAGTTATGGATCAGATGGAGTCCACGAGGTATGTATCTATTCTTGTACAAGTTATACTTAAGGACAGTTTTTATGTGTTAGAACTACACGTCAGTGACTAAAAAAATTAGTATTCACAAGAAGTATTTTTTGTTTCAAATATTGTTGCTTTCGTTAATTGCTCACTTTGCACTTAGTTTTTTCACTACATCGTCAATTTATAAAAGTTCGCTTCACTACGTGGTAAGTCATTTTACAATCTCTGAAGAGGTTATTGGTATTTGGAATTGATTTCCATTGCATTTACGTAAACGCTTGTGGGAAAACAACTTTAGCCATGTACCAAAACGGCGGTAGCGAACTGAGCATTAAAAACGACCAGTTTGGTTTCATTGCATTTAACGGGCATGTCCAACCGTATATGAATAGATGTAAAAGTGAAAAAACATTTAGATGTGATCATAAGAAGCTGCACATGTACCTAAAATACCCCCGTAAGGTTGGGTTTATATACTTCAAATTGTCTTTGTGTTTGTCTTGACTTTTGCAGGTATTGGAACATCTGCGGGAAATGGTATTCCCGTCAGGAATTTTCGCCGGAAAAGGACTGTTCGAAATTTGTCACAAACGCCTTATTACGAGTTACATGTCAAAATATTCGGAGAAGGTAATTATCATTTCCCTTCTGGCTCCATTGTGTTAACATTTGCCTTATGACTTGACTTATATGCTTTTGTCCATATGTGCTTTTTGATTGAAAATATGATAAACTGATATAGTTCATGAAAATAAGGATTATATTTGTTACATCAGGGGGAATTATCCATAATTTGTCAGTCATAAAGATTAACATCATCTGCGATGGTATGAGATCGCCTTATATATTAATTTTAAACGTTGAAGTTGCCTGCCTTCTTGTAATGTTTGCCACCCGCTGGCCTGCTGTAGTGCTGTGTTGCCGAGTGTGTATTTGCAGGATCCAGTTACTAATCTAGCCGCCTTCCTTTGACCGATTCGATCTTGTTTTCCATGGTGTTACTAAGTGCAGAATGATAAATGCACACACACTGACACACACAAACACACACACAGACACAGACACACACACACACACACACACACACACACTCCACACACGTAGACACACACACACACACACACGTAGACACACACACACACGCACACACAGACACACACACACACACACTTTCACACACACATTCCACACACACACACACACACACACACACACACACACACATACATTGTACACCTGTATCTGTATCATTATAGCCGGTATAAAACACACCCATGCAGACCCACACAAGCATACGCACACACAGGTACACACACACATGCACACACACACACACACATACACACAAACACACACACACACAGGCACACAGACAAACATACACGGACAGAAACATACACACAGTTATAAACACACCCACACACATATGCACACACACACGCGCGTGCGCACAGACACTTGTTACATTTTACCCAGTGGTAATGTTGTTGTTTAGCAATTGGTACTATCACCTATGTATGTGCTTCGCTGAATTTACAATTCCGCACCGGAAACGAAAAGTATGAAATAAAGGACAACAAAGCACAAAGTAAAAATATATACATATATATTACGAGGAATATTTGTGTATGTTCATAATATTAAATGCTTATTTTTGGTTCATGCAAACAGTCCGGCCCGGCCCGGTTTGGAAATTTTACTTCACCAGTTGAGATTAATCAATGTTGATTTCCATATAAAGATGAAGCAAAAAGTGGCGCAGGTCTATGGACTATTTGGAGGTGGCTATGCTGTATGGATTGCAGCTCTGCGAATCAAGGGAATCACAGCTGATATTTCACATATAAAAGAAGAGGGCGAAGGAAGGCTTAGAGATTTAGAATCATTTCTACAAAAATATACTGGTAAGTTTACCCTTTCATTGCCTAGAAGAAAAATATGATGATTGTAAATTATATTTGTAACGTTTAGACTCCTTTGAAATGTCGGCTCTTCAATTCGCATTTAATTCTTTTTCTAAAAGAGCCGAAGAATTGGCGCGAAGACTTACGTTGCGGACCTGGGTACCTGGCAGAAAACGGAAAACAGGCTAAGTGCCACCCTGACAGCCACTACCCATGCTGTTCTCGATATAACTGGTGCGGCAACACTGCAAATCACTGCAAAGGCAAGTAACATAAATCTGTGTATATTCTAAAGTTTCATCAGTGTGCAGGGTCGCTCGTGAATGCTACCCTAGACTTGAATGAATACCCTAGGTTCTTACCCTTGATATGAATAAAAAATACAGAATAAACAAGGGTAAAATACGACTTATCTTCTAAAATAAGGCCACACACCTTCTAATGGCACAAGAGTAAAGAATTCCATTTGTGTTCAATCAGGCATTTGGCCTTATATAGTTACAGTATAACCTTATCATCTTTTCAAAGGGTCTTTGTCTATTATGAATGTTGATTTAACAACGTAAAAAAAGGACGATTTCATTATTTTTTGGCCACACCAATTTAATTTCTTGCTTAACGGATTTTTGTAGAAAAAAAATGGAGCGAAAAAAATAATTAAAAACAGGCCTAGGCATCCTATTATGGCCCAAAATGGTACGATCATAGGAGCCATGAAGTCAACACACTAGGCTGGTTCAAAATTCAAACAATGAATTTTCAACTTTCAATGATACCACTGCATTGCAAGAAGGAATAACTGTAACAACTAGGAAAAACGGGACTGTTTTCAACTGTTCAGGGCAAAATAGGAGCATTTTGCAGTTGATTCTGATTTTTTTTTTAAATCAGAAAAAATGAGGCGGGCGAATCCGTTAACCAAGAAATTAAATTGGTGTGGACTTATCCGTTCTCGTAAACATAAAGTTAACAATCAGTGGAGACATTACTCCTGCATACTTTATACGGTATACTGCCATTGCAATCTCAAGTAAGTGTAACAGGTCTAGATAAGTAATGGCTTCACTAAAGCTCGGCTGAGGCTCGTAGAACCTTCGTCCAACACTGGCACAAAGCTCGCTCGAAGCACGCACGATTTTATAAACTTTGCGCAAGTCGGGCGAGGTACAGAAGAGGGTCGCCCGAGTATTTTGCGAAGCTCGCACGAGGGTCGACCGTATACAGCGACCATCCTCCGATTTGTGAAGACGAAGAACGGCCGAGACTCGTTGGGAATACGTCCGAATATCGGTCGACTCTCAGTCGTGCAAGGACGAGCTACGGGCGAGCTACAGGCGAGCTGGAAACGAGTTCTGCGACCTCAAAATCGCCGGTGATGTGATCCATGTTTATATATATATATATATTTTTTTTTGTTAAGCATGGCGCGTTGATCACCGTTGCGGAAAGGGCTTCCTGGCTGAAAATGGAAAACCTGCTCAATGCAATCCTGACGGGTGGAATCCATGCTGCTCCGGGAACCAGTGGTGCACCAATAATAACCCCTGCAACTGTCAGGGGGTGTGTGGACTACAAGAGAAAGGGTTTGTTATTTACTAATTACCGAAAACAACTGATAAAAAAAGAAAACGACTAAAAACCAAATCAAAAAACAAACTAGAGCCCCCGCGATCTCAAACCTTCGCCAAATGATGTTAATCTTTATGACTGACTTTCTGATTATGCAAATAAAATCCTTATTTGTATTATATTTATATTATAATATTATATTATAATATTGTATTATATAGTTGATTATATTCTCCATCAAAAGACAGCCTTATCTTAACAAAGAAAGCCATTCTATGATTTCCTCCTAAATTATGCAAATGAGGTCCTTATTTGAATAAGTTATGTTTAATGATGTTCACCTTCACTTAACTTTCAAATACCCCAAGTATGAAATTCCAGGCAGTTAGCATTATGGAATTATAACATTTTCTCATTAATTATGCAAATTAGGCGTTAATTTACATAATCAATATCTGCCTGCGTTTCTCTCGTTCTCAATTACATATGTCACAAGCTTGAATAGTCCTATAATGTAATGCACCTGATTTATAGAATTTCCCCATTAATTATGCAAATTAGATCCAGATTTGCATAATTGTCGCATAATTACGTCAATCGTCACTTGAGCTACCTACATACCAAAAATCACGACGATACGGCCACCAGTTCTTGAGTTATCCTCTTTTGAATATTTTCAAACAGATAGCCCTGCAGTTCCTGAGCAAGCCGCTAGGAGGCCCAAACTCATGTCACTTTTTCCCCAGCATGAGAGCTACCTACCATCTAAATTTCGTCACCCCAGCATGTCTAGATTATGAGATATCAAAACCGGAAGTTTTGCTGCAGTACCATAACAAGCTGCTAGGGGGTCCAAAATCTAATCATTTTCCAGGTCTCATTAAGACCTACCCACCTACCAAATATTAAGATAATCCATCTAAGCTTTCTCGAGTTATGCTGTTGACACACAGACAGACAGACACACAGACAGACGCACGGCCAGGAAAACATAACCTTGGCGAAGGTAACAAACGTGATGGAATTGTTTAGCATAGATTATGTAAACGTACATAATTGGTGATAAAATATGAACATGTAATACAGATACAATGTTAGATATTCTAAATGGATATGTTTTGTCTTTGAACTCTTTTTTTTTAATCTTACAGCTAAAGGAAAATTTTCCTATGATTACCCACCCTGGGCTGGTTCAATGTAAGTTGCCTTCTTTGTATTAAATAAA